AGGTTAGACAACTTGCCCAGAGTCACAGAACTGCCAGTTGGAGGAACCAGGTTTGCATTTCAGAGTTGTCTGGCTCCAAAGTTCCCCTTTGCCCCAGACTGGCAGAAAGATAAATGCTGAATCTTCATTAAGAACCCAGAATCGTGACCTTTTTAAACTAGCTCCTGGGTCGTTTTTCAGAGATGTGGATTTACAGTAAAAATCAATTACTCGCCATCCTCTCTTTTCTCCTATACCCACTAAGGGAAAGGTGCTGCAGGGCCAGTTGGCAAATGTTTTCCACACGTATGGCCTCATTCTAGCCTCATAATAACCCTATGAGGGGCACAAGGCAGGCACTAGTACCCTCATTTTACAGATGAGGAAACAGAGGCCCAAAGGGAGTTAATGGGTTGCTCAAGGCCAACCCAGGACTTTTAACTACAGCCCCAGAAATCTTCCTCCTCCACTATCTCGCCAAGCCTAGCACATGTTCAGCACTCAATAAACTAATGAATTAATAACGGATGATTCAATTCAAGAACTATATCTCAGAAGGATCGTGCTTTCAAATTCCCTACATGCAGCTCTGCCTGTCTCCTTGCAACAGAAAACCAAGGTTCATTAAATGGTCGAATCTGCAGAAGCTCCTCATCCTGTGGGCCCCCTGAGACAGGTGTCAGAAGCTCCATTTCCTTTCAACCTGGCATTCTCCGCCCCCACAGAGCGCCAGCAGCCCGCCTGCAGGTGTGGTGTCATTTGCTCTTTTCTTGTGCGCCCCACCACATGCTGCTTTCCCACTGGCTGGCATTCTGCCGGAGCCCACACTTCCTATCACCCTCTGTCCCTCTCCCAGTGCAGCGCAGCAGGACCAGTGGTGACAAGAAGCATGTGTAGAATTCAAGTCAGGAGACTGCAGGCAGACCAGACTCGCTTCCCCAACGTGGCAGAAATGACCGTCCTGCTGTTCTAATCTTATTATGAAGGTGCAGCCCTGCCTGTGCCAGGGAAGGAAAGGTGAAGAGAGATCGCGGCTGCCCAAGATTCTTCGGATTATCGTTTGCTACCTGTTGAGTTAATCATGGGCAATTTCACAGAATCCTGGACTCTCACAATTAAGACAGCTAGAGGGCTGGGAGGCATGGTCGCTAACACACGCCTCTCACTTGCATACTTCCAGGAACATGGATACTCACCACCTCCAGGTAGCACTTAGTCTGTCTGATTTTAAAAACACAGTA